GGAGTCTTCAGGAGTCCTGAGAAATCCCTTGAAAGTCCCACCTGACTCCTACAGGATCCTCCAGGATCCCGCAGGACCCCGTGACAGGAGTCCCGTGGGAGTTTTGCCGGGAGTCTCGACTAGGGTGATCTTTTTTACCGTTTCTCAGGCGATGCGAAGGGATTACTAATAGGTTATTGATTGTGATGTCAGCGCCGATCGAAACAAATTTCGCTTATATTACAACCAAAAACTGTCTAACTTAAATTGCATTAAACTTGTGCCTCTAGTTGGGTTAAGATACGCTTAGTTGCACAACGCCAGTATTAACGTGAGATCCGTCTGTGCGCCTAGCGTAAGAAAATCGTATATAGCGTTAGAAAGAAGAGATTTTAATTGAATATGAATAAGCTTATTTAAGTAGATCCTGTTCTAAAATAGATAATTTAGAAATAATTTAGAAGTAGATGTCGCCCAATATCACAGTTAAATTCGTCTGTTTCGATGTACGCGATAAAGTAAAGTTTTTTTATCGTATTCTAATTGGCTGATCCGCCATTTTCTGTGCAAGATTAATCTTATGTTGCTCAGGGATGGCAGACAGATAGAACCGAACAGAGAATCCTTCCCAACCTTCTTTCTGCTTGTACATATACATCAGAACTTAATCTCTAAATTAGTCAGATGTTACTGTTGATATTCGTGATTGCGTTCACATTTAGTCGGTATCAGTAGCTCTTGATGGAACTGAAAAGATGAATGAACAGAAGAATTCAGCCCTTCATTGTTACGGGAGGGCTCAGTAAACTCTCCTACTTATAAAATTTCATGACCAATGAGTAAATTTAAAATATTTGCCAATTTTCTCAACTACCAAGTACTTGGATTAAATACATTCAGTTTAAGTCTTAAGATTCAAGACAAGCTTAAAGTTTCTCTCTCGAACTGACTTAACTTTTTCTTAAGTTTTTCGGCTTAATTATCGTAAGTCATACTTAAGCATGACTAAAGTTGGACGTCTAATGTGAGTCTGAATGGAATCATGTTTGTGCAACAGACTAAGTGACGTCTTAGATTTCAGATAAACTTAAGTTCACTTCATAATTTTTTGTAAAACATACTCATTGCTGACTGTGTTTTTCTGATTGACTTCGACAAATTTAGGACGTCTATGCATAAACTTGATTTCTAGAGTTTTCATACTTTTAACAAACTTTTTCTAGATCGATAACAGAATGAATCGCGATCAACAACGAAGAATGCTTCCGAATTCCTACAATCCTTCATCAAATATGTCGTCTATGCAAAAACCAAACAGGTAATTAGTTATGATACATTCACGGTATACTGCTACGTTTTCTTATTTACGTTTTAAGTGGGCAACAGCATCATCGGCCTGGCAATAATACGAGTCTTCATATGGCAAGTAGTGGCTATGTTGGTCAAGGAAATAAACGTATGCGTGTGAATGATGAATCTGGCGTTCCTGGTCGAGCAGATTGGGTAGAATCGGTAGATATATCAGTTTTATCTGTTAATAAAACACTAAAATGGCATTGATTTTCTATTTAGGATGATGATATCAATGAACGCGACGTTGATCATCGATACGAGTAAGTTTTAAATCTCGTTGTGAATTGAAACTAAACCAATCGCTCACAGATGAGATCATCCCCTAATTCGAAGAATCAAAAAAATTGATAGTAGATGTATTAAAGGATTAACCGATATTTGAGCGCCGATACTGGATCGATCCCTTATACAACCATACATTTATATTCTACCGTAATTTTGAACTTCTTTAAACTCATTCGCTTGTTTCAACTATAATTACAGTTCTTCGAATTGACTTTGTATTTCGTATTTTGCTCATACTGTCAGTGCGCTCAAACGTCAATTCACGATATTAACCAGGGCCGGCGCGAGCAAAATTATGATACCAGGCGTTCACCCCTTCTGTCTGTACCTGTTGAAATGCGCCTGATCAGTATTAAAAACCAAGGCGCCTCTTGCTTTGTAGCGCCCCGGACGGTCGCCCGCCCCTTCCGCCGGCCATGATATTAACCCTGTTATGTTTTCAAAAATAGTCAGCACTGTATTATAAAAATGCTTAATTTTTATATTTTCCTTTTAGAGCATATGGTCACTTTAATAATGCAAGTGTATCTGAGACATGTGTTTTAAATTTTACGATTCAAAATCCAAAATATCCAATTACAGTTGTATGTTTTTTTGTAAAGAAATTCATTAAAATAAATATGCTTCACAAATTTTCTAATTCCATTTTAGGAGGTCATACATAAAATTTGCTCATTTGTTGGAAAAGTACTGCGTATTATTATAGTACGTAAACGTGGTGTTCAAGCATTAGTTGAATTTGATTCTCCAGAAACAGCAAGTAAAGTTAAAGCTGAATTAAACGGTGCTGACATCTATTCTGGCTGTTGTACATTAAAAATTGAATTTGCTAAAGTAAGCAATTTACTTTTATATGGACTGCTGTAATAAGTCTAGTTCTATTTTGTTTAGATTAATCGTCTGATTGTTAGAGGAAATGATCAAGATAATTTGGATTTAACCGTAGATGAAAGTGGTAAGTTGATATGTTATTTTGTCACATTTAGTAGAGAGCATAACTTAATTTTTAATTATTTGTACGAAAAATGATGTAAGATCTTGGTTTAAGTTGACAAAAATAAGAAAATTTTTTTATACTTATAAGTTTAACTCGTTTGAAAAACAAAAATAGTTCTTTTGAATCGATATTAATTTCGCTGTAGAGAAATTTTTCAACAAAAAAAAAAATGTAATTAAAAATATGTGTAAAGGTATATTTCCTTGCACATCAAATGGTAAGTATGCGTGGTTAGAATGCATACCTTTCTTTATTATTATACAGAATACTTCCATAATTGATAAACTATTTATTTGCGCAAAACGACTATAAACAACAAATTTAATCTGTTCAACAATATTATTCAATAATGGCTACGTAAATAACATTTTTAATAATTATTAATTATTGGTCTCAATATATGTGTGCAAATAGATTTCCGAAAATGAAGTTTCATCTAGTATAGACATGTTCATTATCTGATATTGATAACAAAAATAATATAACAGAGAACTATATATTTATCCTCGAACCAACTATCTAATGATAAAATAACCATCAATATGAACAAAAAGAATAAATATGCTTTATTAATGTAAGTAAAAATACATATTTCTACTGCTTTCTCTTTTTATTGAGTTGGTCTTTATTTTTTTTTTGTTAATCTTATAAATTTGATTAATTTATAAAAACAAACTTTAAAATAAGATCTAGTTGACAAAACTTTCTTCTTTATCTAAAAACATTTGAAAATGTAAAGAAAAAGTGTGAAAAAGAAGGAATATTTTTTAAGCTAAATTTACTATTAAAAAAAAGAGAAATGTCGCTGAACATAGCTGTTGATAAATTTGATTTTTTATTCTCTTAATATCTGGGTTGTAATTTCTTCGTTTCTTCTGTTCTAGGCTAAATACCAACGTGATCAATTTATTGTCCAAATGAACTTCGTATGGATCTGATCTCGTTCTACTCACTTATAATGAAAGATCTTCTTATGTGCTAAAAAATGATCGTAGGATGATAATCGTCTCAGGTTGATTTATTCAATGACTTTTTTATAGGTTATTCTCGCCGAAAAACATTGCTTTCATCACCTCCGCCTTCATCGAATAACTATGGTGAGAAACTGTTGTCAACAACTCATTATACTTCGTTCATAAGGGATTTTTTTTCGCAATAGGTTCGTCAAATCTTGATAGTCAACAATTTACGGTAATTATCGTTTTCTTCTATTCAATAGCGATTAAATCTCTGCATTTCGTAAAGTAATGAATCTATTTATTTCCTCTTTGTCAGACATTCTGTAAGACTGATAAAGCATTCACAATTACAAAGATGATTTAAAATCTTTTTTCCAGCTGAAAACTCGTTGATAGATCATTTGTAGTCATAAAAGTCTTTATTTTTTATCTGAGTATGTCCTTTATTTGTATTTCAAGTCCAATGTTGGTTCGCAATACAACACTGTAACAAACAGTACGCTTGGTTTATTGCATGGTTCAATTCATCTTCCACAAAGTTTGAATTATGTTAGCCAGTATCAAAATCTACAACAACAGCCGCATCAACAACGTTTTTTTCAAAATCAAAATGCACATAATCTGTCAAATCATGACAATTTACGTCAACATATGTTAACTGGTGGATCACATTTAATTGCCCAACAACTTGATCATTTTGTCAGTGAACAAGCAACATCTGGAGCACATGTATTCAACATACAAGGGTTGAGTTCAAGCAAATGGAATTGTGAGAAATTGTTCAATCTTCTTTGTTTGTATGGGAATGTGTTGCGTGTGAGTTTCGTATTGGGTGGAGCGGAAAACAGCTGCTACTGAGTCGATTTTGTTTTGTTTAGGTGAAATTTCTGAAATCAAAAGATGGCTCAGCGATGGTTCAAATGAATAATTGTGATAATTTGAAACAATACTTGAGAAATCTCAATTCTACATACATTTTCGGGAAAAAGATTGTCATTGTGTAAGTACGATCTATCGGCAGTGATGAGAGTATTTGACGTGTCTGCTTCTAGTGGCTCTCGTCAACCACAAATTGAACCCGTCCAGCGTCCATATGAGTTGCCTGATAAGGAACCGTCGTACATGGATTTCACAACAAATCGTAATAATCGGTATTTGACTAGTGAGCAGGCACAAAAGAATCGACCTGTGGCCCCATCGAGTGTTTTATACTATTTTAATACGCCGCCATTAATGACCGAAGTTGATATAGTGCGAGTAAGTGCCAGTGTAAAGAAGTAGCTGTAGAGAGGGTAATTGTGCTTTTTTTACTTTAGTTTTTTGAAGACCTCGGTGCGAAACGACCGCTGAAGATAAAAAATTTTCCAGCTCGGAAAGCAGACCATAGTATGTTCGTTTTGTGTTGTCTACGTATGTTTGCACAAATGTTTTTCTTTCGTTGAAGATGGTGAACGAAACCGTCGTGGTCAGAATCAGCCGCGTGGTGTTACGGGTTTGGCTGAGTTTCGTAACATCACTGATGCATGTGAGTGTTTAGTTTTGGCGAATAACTATCCATTGCAACATTCTGGTGAGTAGATGCGTTAGAGTTGAAAGTTAATTTGCATTGAGATTTGTTGCCATTTTGTTTTAGCTTCGAACTGGCCATTTTATTTCAAACTTACGTTTAGTGGCACGCCAATTACAGATTCAGGTGAGAGAAATGAGGCAATTGATTGGATAAAAGCAAGTTTGTACGATTTTTTCTGCTTTTTCAGATGCATTATTTGGCGAAGATCTTGACGTAAGCTTAGCTACACTAACAATAGGTGTTGTAGCTGAAAAACGTTCACCCTCATTGGCAGCAGACGATGAAGATCGATCACATCGTCGACATCATTCAACTAGTTCTACCTCTGGTCATCGCCACCATCAAGCACGTAGTCATTCTGAAGAACAGCGAAGTCCATCAGAAGAATAGAAGACATGTCATGGTCAATAATATACGTTAATAAACTTGTAATGTTCTGTGTGTTATTTTTTTTGCCTAAATTGAAGATACAACCTTTGTGTTCTTTTGGTTTTCAACAATTTATACCATTATGCTCAATCAGGACTTGTACAATCAACACAATCATATGGGTTAAATCAATTTTTTCTTCTCACATTTCTCAAGTTACATCATTTTCTCTTCCACCAGATTGCTAGTGTTTGTCGGCTTTTCGTTACACAGATTACTCTGTCGAACTTTTAATAACTGAAGTAAAAGAACTGTACTAAACTGATGACTAAAGATGTCCTAATAATCAACGAAGTTAAACAGAGCAAGGTTTATTGTGCTACATTTTAAATTCTTTGTTTTGTCTGTTCAAGTGTAGTTGAGTATGTGGATTTTGTTTTTCTGTTGAAATAAATTGTATATAAAAAATACAGAAATTTATTAAACGCATTTTACTCGAACAAAAAGTAGGTCAATAGCAATTCTTTCCTCGTTATCTGTGCTTATTTCACTCAGTAAAAAGAGCACCTTATAAAACATAAGAATATAAAAACAATTTCGGAAATTATGTACATGGATGAAAAATAAATACAAACCGGAATTACTTGAAATATCCAAAAGTATATTGAAAAGTTTAAAAAAAATTAATAACTTAATCTATCTCATGATCTATTTAACTTTTATTAATTTGGTGGATGGAATTCTTTCATAATATTGATTAAATCCTTGTAAATATAATCATTGGCATTTATGGCCCAAACGAAATCCAAATGATTGTAATCTGGAATATATTTTTCGTAAACTAAGCTTTGAATATTAGCAAAAATATAGCTAACATCCTCGGGATCAGCTAACCAATCTTCTCCACTCCAAAATAGAGCTGTAGGTATTTTCATATTGGTTATTGTATATACTGGTGGCGTTGTTTGATTATAATGTAATTCATTTTTATCTGGTGATCCATAATCGTAAGCTTGAAATTGTTTGTCTTGAACTCCTTGAGCGAAATGGATCATATTTTTTACTGACGTGCCATCGGGTTCGTGTGCAATATAAACTGGAACACGTGTATGATTCATATAATGAGAATCGGGCCCACAAAGAATAAATAAAATATTTTCACACATTAAACGATCAACGACAACTTTAGTACAGGCAAACACTGCCAACCATTTTACAATGGCGGACGAGGGTAAAAATTCATTTCTTCCAAATAATAAATGCCAATATTTTTCAATGTCTTTTGATAAGTCGGCCAGATGTCTAATAGGAGATTTTATATGACCAACTTCTGCGACTAAAGTGACATAAATTGTGATGAAATACAAAAATTCTATGTAAGTCACGTACCCGGTGCTAATGCTGCATAGAAACTAACATTCTTATTCAAATCCATATTTCGTCCAAATTCAGCAAACGCAATCATTGTGCCTTGAGAATGACCGACATAGGCTAGTTGGGTATAATTTGTTTTCGATAAAATATATTGAATCATGTTCGGTAAATCAAATTTCGCCATCTCATCATATGAGAAATCCCAAAATTCTTCATCTCTATCAGGATTCCACTTGACGTGATGTCGTGAATAGTAATTGCCCCTCATGTTTCCAAGCCATACATCATAACCCTTAGAGAAAAATACTTAGTTAGGAAATGAGCCCATGTAAACGATTGTAACTTTACCTGGTCAGCAAGAATGAAGCCCAGACTTTGTGCCGGAAAGTTCATTACCCATGTTGTAGCCGAATCTAATAATCCATGCTGTAATAAAACAGGTCGTCCTAATCGTTGAGTAGCAGAACCATTTTTACCATACGGTATACGAAATACTCCAAGAATGTAGCCATCTTCCGTTGTCACTTTATGCTCTTCACATGGATAGCCTTTTTGTCTTATTATATCTGTGATATTATAATCTATATCAGGATCACGTTGTAAAACTTCAGGTTGTTCGAGAAGAGATCGAACGTATTGCCTGTTGATAATATCTTGAGATATTGAGCATGAGCATGTACACAAAAGACTAAGTAAGAGTATTCCAATTTTAATATTTATACCTATAATGGAAAGTAAAAAGAAGAATGTAATGCGTTGTAGAAAACAAGAACAAGTGTTTCATTAACCTTTCATATGGATGGAAAGAGAGAAGGTATAAAGTGTTCTTTTACCCAATTACACTTACCGTAGTATTCAAATAACATATTCGAATTAACGAAAATATAGTGTAACAATAAAACTAATTGTCACAAAACTCATGCTTTCTTTCAAAATAAAACAAACTGATATGTATCGTTTGATGTTATCTAATATTTACAAAAAACAATTATTTTGTAGCGCTAGACATAAAGAAAACAAAAAGATAAAAGGTGTAAATGTGTGTAGTCGCATACATAAAGTATGTGCTAATGAAAAATATCCAATATAAAAATCGGCTAATGGTCAACGTTTGGTCGATACATTACTATTTTGCTCCTTATGCTGTTGCGGTAGAAACTAAACAGTACATTGTGGAGAGTTGTGAGACGTCTCATTCTGAAGACTGAGGTACATTCTTCAACATCCTTCATAGGCTCTCATTTCCATTTGATCGTCTCTTTACAGCTACATTGATTTTGCTATGAACTTCCTGACTGAAATAAACTTCCTCAGTCAGTTATTTGTTTTTCTTCTTTAGCGTCTTTCAAAAAGGCATTAGCTCACAGTAAAATTCAGCCATGTTCCCAATCAAAATAATCTCGTGTTTGTTGTTTTCTTTAACGTTATTTTAATTGTGTTTTTTTTCATCGTTTCTTTATCTCTGTGTTGCATACTCTGATTTCTTTTTTTTCTTTCTTTTTATTTTTCCCTATTTCATTTTTGTAGTTTGACTCCAGTCATCGATACTACAGGTCGGAGACCTTTTATGAGTGCCACTTTTCGTAAATAAAACTAATCTTAATGTTAGTCTTAACTCTAAAAATAAATTCCGTAAAAGGTAGTCTCCGATATTTTGAACATAACAGAAAACAGATCGGCTGAATCGAAACAAGCCTGCAGAGGGTTTTGAAGACTAGATTTTGACAAAATGAGATATCTTACGGCTCTCCACAATGTACCATTCAGTTTCTACAGCAACAGCAGAAGGAACAAAATAGTAACCCACAGACATCGATTTAGCTGTTGAGCTTTACCCTGGATCAATAGAAAGAGAAGATGTAGAACAAATAAACAAGCAAAGCAATCTGAAGAATAGTAAAAGGTTAGAAATCCACAGGAGCAGTGTTACCGAGATGAACAGTATTAGTGATGATTTGTTGTCAGTTGACTTAACCAGAAAAGAAATATGCGATACAATGTACCAAAAACTTTGTTGCTTTACTCTCTCTCAACATATAATGAGTTAGACCCGCTTCGGGTAAATTATCACTTAGTTTCAAATAAACTGGTTTAGAACAAAAACAGCGAACTGTTAGTTTATTGCACGGTTGTATCTGATAAGTTCCTGTCTTTATAGTATGTCACTACCATACCGTTGTTTGCTCAAATTTTAGCAAAAACTGACTCTACTTAGAATCACAGGACATATGGATAGTTTTAGTTACACTGAACGTGTGTGTGTGTATAATAAAAATATTGATTTAAAAAATAAGAGAAACATGTTACCGGGTAGGTCTAGACGAAATATCGAGACTAATCTACTCGCGGTTTAGACTTCTAGGAAGTACCCTCTCAGAATTTCATGCTACAGGCTATATGAGTACTGGTTCAACATGATGGGCCGATAGATATGTCTATACTTGAGATGATTAATGTCTCTTAGCATGCACCCTCTGTGTTTCGATTTCAATTTTGTAATTCTACCATAGGCAATGAAGCATTATTAGCTTTACTGAAGAAAATATCGAAGTGGATATCCACAAGTTGTGAATACTCAAGTAAATTACTCCTAACAATTGTAAATCATGGTCTTCTTTTTGTACAATCTTATCTATCTTAACTTATAGATCAGGGTTGCCAACTCTCCTGATTTATCAGAATTTTTCTGATTTTGGAGGTTTTTTCTGATCGCTTTCTGATTTTTTCTGATTTTTAACTTTTTTAATTAATGCTGGAGAAGACGGTTTCTGGGGAAAAGACTGACGTAATATTTTCATGTATGTCTACACTACTTGAGTTGTTGGTTTAATTGGATGTGCTTGAGTCCACTCATAACATTAGAGCCGTATCAAATAAGGTCGAGATACACTACTGAAGAAATTTCTACTGAGGAACGCTAACTCATACACATTTCACGAAGAAGCCAGCGCTCTTCAGTAGAAATTTCTTCAGTAGCGTATCTCGATTATCAGTTAAGAGATATCTTCTTTGCCTTTCTGTCCTGTACATGCCTCACATTTCTCGTTCATTTCTGACCCCACAGTTCGTTCTGTTTCTTTTTTTTGTTGTGTCAGAAATGAACGAGAAATGTGAAGCATATGCAGAACAGAAAAGCAAAGAAATCTCTTATTTGATACGGCTCTACTATTATCTTCACGAATGAGAGGGTTGTTGGTAATGAGTTTGCAAACGAACAGTTTGGAACACAAACAACACGTTTTAGATTAGCCCGTTTCTTAAATGTAATGAAATTGTCAACTGACGTTGTGCGCGCTAAAGCTCTCTTAGGTTCGTTTGAAAACAAAGAAAATAAAAATGAAGTGAAAAAACAAAAAGACGTTTTTAACAAAGATTGGTTGAGACATCCAAAATATTCAGAATTTTTTCTAGCAGTTAATCATGATGAAACTAAAGCAAGATGTTCAACTTGTAACACGGACATTTCCATTCGTGCTGGAGGAAAAAGTGATTTAGATAAACCTGTTAAAACTGTGAAACATCAAGATTTGATAAAAAAAAGAAGCGGATGAGGATCAGTTTTAAAAAAAATTAAGATGTAACCGTTTCTCCTGTGTTTTGGGCAAAAAGATACGTCTTCTGATTTTTGACACTTTGCTTTTCTGATTTTTAGGTTTTTCTTTCTGATTTCTTAGCTTTTGAGTTGGCAACCCTGTTATAGATGCAAGTCATCGTACCGATAGGGAAGGATTATATTTTATTTCTGTTATTTCCGTTTCAACTTCCCTACGTCGTTTTGTAGTTTCGTCACATTGGCTTTCTGCAGAAGAAAAACAGAAAGCGAATTAGATCTTTGCTTCAAATTTTTATTTAAAATACTGGCGTTAAACAAAAAAAGAATACGATCAATTGAGATATCTGATAGCTATATGTGAGTTTGTTTATTTAATTATGATTTCGATTCATGCATGAATAGACAGTGTAGTTATCGTATTACCCAGTCAACTTTTATTAGATTAATTTAATTTTACAACCGCGTTTTCAGTTACTAGAGGCTCAAACAGACCTCATTTCTGGCAAAGTCAACAGAAGATACTATGGCTGGTTTCGACCTTTCTCAAGGATCTCGTCAGTTGATTTCCTTCGAGAACGACAAAATTAAGATACAACGCCGTCCACACTATGTGAAGATGTTATTATTTCTTGTTCCCATTAAACAAAGAATTAAATTAAAATTATATTATCAAAAGTCGAATTTTTCATATTTATATACAGTTATATTGAATGAATGAATGAATGAATGAATTTTATTCACGAAAAGTGAGAGTCATCAAAGGTCATCGACCTATAAAACAATGACTCGAGCCAAACAACAACAAAAGAATCTATAAATAGAAAAAAAAGAATA